AACACAATCAATAAACCCAATCTGCCTGTCACATTTGTTCACTGAATGCATATTGAAGGTGTAGTCCATCACAGCTGCAGGTTTTAGAATGGGTTCATTGGTCTCTCTATTTTGCCTGCCAGTGTTTGTCATTTCGTTAGGGTGAACTGATGACAACAGTGTGACATCTCGTTTGTCATGCCACTGAAATGCCATGATGTCATTGGCAGCAAACACCTGCACCTCACCTCTACGAGTGCCAGCGTCAAGCCAGGGCATATGCTGACGATTTCCATGCACTGTGCCACACGCATCTGTCATGTTCACTCGCAAAAAATCACTGAGTGAGCGGCTTGTGTACCAGTTATCAGTATATAATATATGCCCCTTACCAAGATATGGTTCCATCATTGTTCTAACCACATCACCAGAGATGCCCAATAACTTCCTGGTATTTTGCAATGTATTACTTCCAGTGTACACAATAATATCCAACACAAGACCACTGTAGCAGTCACAAAGCACAAACAACTTTATACCAAAGCGTTTCCTCTTGCTTGGTATATACTGCTTGAATGACAGTCTTCCTTTGAACAGAATCAGACTCATCAGTAACAAGCTTCCTGAAGGGATAAAAATGCATATTGAATTTCTGTTTCAGATACACAAACACATTCCTAATCTTATGTAACCTGTCGTTTCTGTCAGGCCTGGTTTTGTCTGAGAAGTGAAGCATACGTAATAGTAGCACAAATCGATTCACTCGCATTATATTACTGAAACCTGGGGTTGCAATCAGGCAGTCTGTTGACCAGTATGATTTAACACTGTGCTTATAAACATGTGGCATAAGCATTGTTGTGGCAAAGAAAAGATTCATCTCAGCCACAGTTGTCTCCTTCCACTGGTGTAGGCATGATTTTGGTGAGAGTATTGTGTTTGCCATGGTGTACTCGAAGTATCTGTTGCTTTCCCTGACAATAATTTCCATCAGGGGCTCGTCAAAGAATAACTTGAAACATTTTAGTTCAGTGGCATTGTTCCCAAGTGTACAAGATTGCCGTATTCCACTTTGAGTTTCACCAAAGTGATGGGGACTGGGAACAAAATTGTCAGTTTCCTGCCAATCCCAGGTGCGGTCTGCTGGTGGGTACTGGATATTGACAGGTGGTTGTGGAGGTTGTGGTTGTGGAGGTTGTGGTTGTGGAGGTTGTGGTTGTGGAGGCTGGTGTGGTGGGTGGGTGGATGAGGGTGGTCTTTGTTGTAGCTGAGCTGATTCAGCAGTGTTGGTGGCAGCATGGCCTACTGCCGGTGCCTCACGGCTGGCACCACCACTACCACCACCATGCACATTTTCCATCCCAAGTGCAACACTATCATCTTCATTTTCACTGTCTGTTCCTGTTGTACAGCCATGGGATGTACTCTGAGATGTACTCCTTCCCCTTGGAATAGCATATGGCACACTACCAGAGCGCATATAGTCGTATATACTGACACTTCACTGGAGAATATTCCACTTCACTATCACTACTGGAACTGTTTTCAAGAACTTGTAGTTCATGTTCACTATCACTGTCATCACCATTGCTCACATCTGAGTCCTGATATGGGAAAATAGGAGTATCCTCTTTCGTTCTGGTACAACTGAATGTGAACAAGATGGCCCAGCACCAGAGGTGGAAGGTTGAGGGTCATCTGGATTTTCCTCACTGTTACTGGTAATATGGTCATTAGTTTCAGTCACATCCTCATCAAAACCTTGAAACTCATCTTCACTGGCACTTCCATCTGTATTAGAACTGTCACTGGGGAACAAAAGTGTCCCAATTCGCTGAGGAGTGAGGAGTTTCTGGACAGTTATTTTGTGTGACAGGGGTCCAGTGACTCTCAAGCTGGTCCTAGTGGCATTAAAAAACCAAGGAGGAAGTAACCCCACCAAAGGACTTGATACCTGAAGTCCTTCTGGTGGGAGATTCTCCTTCCAAGCAATAGACAATCCTGAATCTCCCCTGCTGCTGGCACATCACTCATCAACAACTCCACAATAAAGGTAAGTGGCAGTTAATTATTGTTTATTTTGCATATCCCATTCCTTTCCATATAAGGAAATGTATATTTCATGTAAAAAAAAAATTCAGACTTTGGGGTGTCAGGAACGGATTACTTATATTTCCATTATTTCTTATGGGGAAAATTAACTAGACCAACGGCAATTTTGACCAACGGCAAGCCCTCTGGAACAAATTAATGCCATTGGTTGAGGGTCCACTGTAAATGGTGCAGAGGTGACATTAAAACATTATCAAAGACAGTTTACACAAACTCACTACTATTGTAGTATGCTTTTCACTTAGTGACGAATTTGTTTAATGACATGGTCTTAGGAACAGAACTCTGTTGATAAGTGAGGAGAGGCTGTACTTATAAGTCAGACTTCATGTAGAGTAGAAAAAAATCTTCAAATTAAACTAAATGTAAATAACAAAAAAGGCACAATACCGCGACTGGAACGATACACAAATAACCCGCACATAAAAGAGAGAAGCTTACGACGACGGTTTGGTCCGACTTGGACCATTGACAAAGTTACACTAACCAGAGGTGGAGCAGGACGGCTATATATAGGCAGGAAGAGGTGGTGGTAGTAGTAGTAGTAGTACAAGAGTTGTATATAATACCGACAAGATGAAATTAAGACACATGCACAACACCCGGGCATCCCCATCATAGACGTTTTGCCATCCAGCCAGCCACTGGATGGCGAAACGTCCACAACAAAGACAACCAGACGCCGCACATTTGTCTTAATTTCATCAGTAGTTGTAGTAGTAGTAGAAGAAGAAGAGGCAGTAGTAGTGGTAGTGGTAGAAGTGGGAAATAAGGATGACGAGCCAGTCAAATACAAAGGAAGGAGAGCACTGCAAGAGAGCTAGATGCCCACAGAGGGAGAGCAAGCGCACAGAGGTGCATGAAAGGGGAAGTGGTGAAATAATTGAAGAAGGAACAGAAACACAAGACAGGAGAGAGAAAGACAACCCAGAGGAGAAAAGGAAAGAGGAAAGGGGAAGAGGAAGAAGAAGAAAAAGAAAAAGAAAAAATGAGGATTCAGGTTAAGTCACGGGTGTTCTGAAGTTTGGAGCATTTTACAATGTAGTGGGAGAGGAAGGCATCTACAGAGACGAAGCCAGGGCTAAGGTTCATACAAGGAAAGTTGTGTATTAGAGAGGATTCAACTAGACGGCGACTGTTCGAGTTGGAAGTAGGGAAGACAGTTTTAGCAGAAGACCAGTCAATAGGATGGCTATGATCTCTGACGTGACAGAAAAGAGCATTGTTAGTGTCGGCAAGCCTAACACTATTTTTGTGCTCCCTAAGTCTGTCAGAAAGAGATCGACCAGTTTCTCTGAAGTATTGAAGAGGACAGGAGGAGCAAGAAATAGAGTAGACACCAGGAACATCTGTAGAGGGAGGAGAGGTATGAACGAGATTAGTGCGAAGAGTGTTAGTCTGGCGGAAGGTAAGCTTGATGTGTAAGGGACGGAGAGAATTGTTGAGATTAGAAAGACCGGAAATATAGGGAAGGCAGAGGATAGAAGAGTTCTCATGAGTAGAGAGTTTGGGAGAGAAGAAATTGCGTTTAGCACGTGAGAGGGCAGAGTCTATGAAATGGGAAGGGTAGCCAAGATGGGAGAACGAATTATGAAGAGTGGAAATTTCTGCTGGAAGGAACTGAGGATCACAGATGCGGAGGGCACGGAGAGAAAGAGGGAGATAAAAGCACTTTTCTTGACAGGGGAAGCATGATAGGAAAAGTAGTGAATGTACATGCCACTGTGCATAGGTTTATGGTAAACGGAAAAGGAAAAACCTGTATCTGAGTGGTGGACATGGACATCAAGGAAAGGAAGCAAGGAATTAGATTCCCATTCAGCTTTAAACTTAATGGAAGGGGCAAGATTATTAAGAGCTTCAAGAAAAGGTTGGAAGAGACTGGAGTCATGAGGCCACAGAGCAAAGATGTCATCCACATAGCGGAGCCAGAGTGAAGGTTGCACATCGAGGGTAGGAAGAAGAACAGTCTCGAAGTATTCCATGTAAAGATTAGCAAGGACAGGAGAGAGAGGAGAGCCCATAGCAACACCGAAGGTTTGAGAATAATATTTCCCATGGAAAGAAAAGGAGTTAGAGTCTACACAGAGGCGGAACAGATCAAGAAAGACATCAGTGGGGATAGGGAGATGAAGAAACCCTTCATGGGCCTTCTCTCTAAGGAAATCAAGGACATCATCAAGAGGGACATTGGTGAAGAGGGACTCAACGTCAAGACTAAGCATCTTACAGGTTGGGAGAGAGCGAACCCGTTCAATGAAGTCTTGAGAGTGACGGAGGTGGGCAGGAGAAAAAGTACCAAGAAAGGGAGTGAGGGTTTTGGCCAGCCAAGAAGCAAGAGAATAAGAGACAGAACCTCTAGAGGATATGATAGGACGAAGAGGAATATCAGGTTTATGAGTTTTGGGAAGGCCATAGAAATAGGGAAGAGAGGGACAGATGACGTGAAACCGTTGAACAAGGTCAAAGTCAGGAGGACAGAGGTCGGAGAGAGCCCTTAGTTTTTTGTTGAAAGTTCTCTTGATGCGATCAAGAGGGTTGGAAACGAGAGGAGTGTAGGTGCGTGAGTCAGAGAGCAAGACATCAGCTTTACGGAGGTAATCCTCGCGATCAAGGATAACTACCGAATTACCTTTGTCAGAAGATAGTATGACAATGCTAGTGTTGGATTTAAGAGAAGAAAGGGCAAGTTGGTAACGGTGTGGAAGGTGATGGTCCAAGTCGGACCGAAACGTCGTCGTAAGCTTCTCTCTTTTATGTGCGGGTTATTTGTGTAAACTAAATGTGTTGTAATATAAATTTAATGAATTTGTATAAAATGGCTCATAATGGAGTGTGTTAAAACACCTGATGTCTGCTGTATTGCAGTAATGTATTAGTGTATCTATTTATCATTTTTTTTATTTCAGCATTAACCTCTGAGTTAGTGGAACAGTATCGGGAGCAGGTCGAGAGTGAATCATCCTCTGTGTTGGCTATGAATGCTTGTTTCAAGGCTGATCCATTGGATATGTGTTTATGTCGAAGCAAAGTGATTGCAACAAATCACGTATTTACTCATAAGGTCAGTTTATTGATATTTCTCATTGTTAGGGTGCTATAATTTTTATATTTAACTGAGGTGCTGATCCACCATCCACTTATCAGATGGATGCACTACTCTTATAGAGTGCTAAAAAAATGCAGTGAAAATCGAGGGACTTGAAAGGAGCTCTGGCATTTTATTTTCAGGTTGAGAGTGAAGGGAGACCAGTTACTAACCAAAAATCTTCTGGACGTTGTTGGATCTTTGCCTGTCTCAATGTCATGCGGCTTCCTTTTATCAAACAGTATAACTTGGAAGAGTTTGAATTTTCACAGTCTTATCTCTTCTTTTGGGATAAGGTAATATAAAATATCTCAGAAATGTTATGTTATATATACCATATATAACATTACAATGTAAATTTATAATAATGTAATAGACGATACTTAACCCTTTCATTGTCAACACTCCCTAAATTAAATTAAATTGTAAGAAACCTCCCATTTAACCATCAGAACTACCCTCTTATTTGTTCAGAAACTTTTAATTTGGCCAATTTTACACTATTCAACAAATTTCAGTTTAAAACGGTAACATTGTAGGCATTCCAGCCACTAAAGCAATTTTTCCTCTCTCTATTTATCACTGCCCAGGTCTCTTCTATATACCACTTGCCCTCCATTTTGAATCTCTCATCACACACAACAATTCAGTGCTTTTCTCTACTTTATTATTTTACTATTATATTCCCAAGCTCCTTTATTTGATCATCACTTTATTTGTTCACCACAACTTATTTTAGTCCCTTTTATATTGTCTCCTTTATTTTAGCTTGAAAGAACTACCTTAGTTCATATATTTACATTTGTTAAAATAATTCAGGTGCTATTTTTTAGCTTTAGAATATTTACTTTGTCTTATACTGAAGTCTAATTATAGATTCACTATAAATCTTATGATTACAAGCATTGATCCTGATACCAACCTCTTATTGAATGAGTTAAATGAATCAAACAGCAACTGTAATTACTACACAGCAGAACAATCAAAGGCACTTCTCAGAGCCAACAACAACCTAACTGTCTTTAACTACAATGTCAGATCTTTAAGCAAACATGACGATGACCTCACAGCATTACTAAATTCCCTGCATGCCAGTATGTCCATCATTATTCTCACCGAAACCTGGCTAAAGCCTGATACTACAGATGTCTATGCCATTCCTGGTTACACAGCGATACACAACTGTAGGCCAGATCAACAAGGGGGTGGCACAGCTATATACTACTCAGACCATCCAGAATGTGTCAATAATACATGCACAAGGGATGAACATGGGGAATATATAATAGCTAAATTCAAATCCAAATACAGGTGCCATCCGACTTACAACCGAGTTCGGTTCCGACAAACTGGTCGTAAGTTAAAATGGATGTAAGTCAAACCTTACTACTGAATATCAACATAATATTTTTGTAATGACTTTATTTTATTGTTTTATTTTGGTATTTCATTTTTTGCCTTACTTTTTATACTGTTAGTACTGTATTTTATACTGTAAGGTTTAGGATAAACACTGTGTACAACACAAACAGTTGTTTATTTCCCAGAAATTTGGCATAGAAAACGCGGTTGTAAGTCAAATGGTTGTATGTCGAGCAGGTCGTAAGTCGGATTATAGGTGTACCTACAAAAACCTCTCACAGTGATAAACATCTACAGAGTACCAGTCAAACATTAGCCATTTTAGTGAAAACCTAGGAAGTATGATAACTGATTCACACATGAATAATGATCACTTACTACTCTCAGGTGACTTCAATATAAATCTCCTGCAAGACCAGGACCCACACATTACTGAATTCACAAACACTATGAGTAACTGCATGTTGCTATCAACAATAACAAAACCTACAAGAATTACAGAGATTAGTGTTTCCCTACTAGACCACATCTGGACCAACACCATATCCTCTTTAAAATCAGGCATAATCACAGATAATACCACAGACCACTACCCTACCTTCCTCATAACTAATCTAGGTAAATTACCCCAAGACACTGCTAAAGCCACTCTCAGACTTCATAATGAGGCAGCCATTAATAACTTCACAACAGCAGTGACAAGCATCGACTGGCACACTGAGCTAGAAATCTATACAGATACTGTATTGACGAATGTATTAATAATTTTCTAAAAAAGACCCAATACCTCTACAACAAGCACTGCCCTAAAAACTAAACAGATGACAGCTAAGAGACTGAACAGTCCCTGGCTAACACCCAGCATCCTCAAATCCATAAATACAAAGCACTTACATCAAAAACAGTACAAAATGGGTCACATAACCAGAAACCAAACAAAACGTTACTCGTCAGTCCTAACTAGCTTGATAAGAAGGGCTAAAATATTGTATTATGAGAACAGATTATCCAACTTAAAAGGTAATATAAAAAAGACCTGGAAAACCCTATCAGAAATTCTAGGAACAAAAAAGATATCAGGAAATAGCACAATTGAACTAACAAAACCAGATGAACCTCAACTCCCACCAACTGAAACAGCAAACAGACGCAATGATTTCTTCTCCTCCATAGGTAAAAACCTTGCCAATAAAATCCCAATCTCAAATACCCCACCCAATGACTACCTCACTGGCAGCTACCCGAACACACTGTTCCTAGCTCCGACTAACCCAACAGAAGTCTCCCTTATTATCAACACACTAAAAAACAAGACAGGAGATTTAAATACCATACCACCCTTTATATACAAAAAAGCATTGCAAATGCTGTCACCAATCATTGCAACACACTTTAACAAATCCATCGAATACTCTACCTTCCCTACAGTTCTCAGAATAGCGAGGGTCACCCCAATACATAAAGGAGGAGACCAAACAGACTTGAATAACTATAGGCCAGTATCCAACTTACAACCTCTCTCTAAAATCTTCGAAAAATTAATTCATAAGCGAATCTATTCCTACCTCATCTCCCACAACATACTCAACCCCTGTCAGTTTGGGTTCAGGCCTAATAAAAATATGAGTGATGCTATTATACACATGCTAGAACAAATATACACTGCACTCGAGAAAAAAGAAGTCCCACTGGGGATCTTCATTGATTTACATAAAGCTTTTGATACAGTTGACCATGATTTGCTCCACGTAAAATTGTCACACTGTGGTATAAGAGGGCACTCCCTCAACTACCTAAAGTCATACCTCAGCAACAGAAGCCAATATTTGTACACAAAAGGAGCAAACTCTTCCTCACAGCCAATTACAGTTGGTGTCCCACAGGGAAGTGTCCTTGACCCTCTTCTCTCTCTCGTTTACATAAACAACCTACCAAATGCATCGCAACTACTCAGACTCACACTATTTGCAGATGACACTACATATGTCTTCTCTCACCCAAGCCCAGTCATGCTAGCCAATACTGTAAATACCAAATTACAGAAAATATCTACCTGGATGATGACTAACAAACTTACTCTCAACATTGACAAAACCTACTTCATTCAGTTTGGAAACAGAGCTACAGATGTCCCTCTTAACATAATGATAAATGGATCACCTATCACAAAGCTCACAGAGGGAAAATTCTTAGGAATCCACCTTGATAATAGACTCAAATTTCAAACACATGTACAACAGATTTCCAAGAAAATTTCCAAGACCGTAGGCATACTATTGAAGATATGGTACTATGTTTCACAGTCAGCCCTCCTGGCCCTATATCACTCACTCGTTTACCCCATCTCACCTATGGAATTTGTGCATGGGGCTCAACAACAATAAACCATCTCAGACCATTAATTACCCAACAAAAGGCTGCAGTCAGAATGATAACAAATTTCCACTACAGGCAGCACACTCCACCAATATTCAAAACTCTAAACCTACTCACTGTACAAAACATCCATACTTATTACTGCACCTATTACATACACAGAACACTGAACTCTGATATTAACCCTCCCCTCAAACGTCTCCTTACCAATCTCGACAGAACACATGACCATAACACAAGGTACGGATCACTCTTTAATGTTCCTCGTGTCCAGCTCGCACTATGCAAAAACTCAATGCACATAAAAGGCCCAAAAATCTGGATTTCATTACCTGTGAATATAAAAGAAACACTGTCTGTTTATAAATTCAAGTCTCTTCTTAAAAACCTCTTACTCTCCCACAACTGAATAAATACTGAATAACTGTATCTCATAAATGTATAACCTGTGACCCTATCAAACTTTGTTTTTTTAATTACATTACCTAATAGAATACTCCATTCTATTGAATACACAGCAACTCAGCAAATGATCATATGACCTGTCTTTGAAATATTCATTTGTGCTTAATTGCTATTTGTTTACTATAATTTTTACCAGTGAATATATCATTGCTTAGTTTATCTTAAGTTAATTTTAAGCCTGCCCATAATACTCTGCATACAAGGGGGTTGTAGCATGTTACACTTAACCACTGTATTTCTTTGTACATCTATGTATCATGTCCAAATTAATAATAAATAAAAAATAAATAACCAAGAATGCTTGTTCATGGTGTAGGCCATCACAGTAATTGAAGCTGAAATAGTAAATATCCATAAAGCAGACTCTAGTAGGGTTGGGGGGCCCCTACCTTTTCCCAGGAAAATCATCCAAAATTGATTATTTCCTCTATTTTGAGACTTATTCAGGTCTAAAACAGACCAAAATCTTTTCAATTTCATTAGTATGTCTTGTGGTATATATGTTGACACCAAGAAAGAACCAATAAAACCATGAAAGTCACCATAGGAAACACCCCCAAATGCATGAGGCAATTTTTTTTTTTTTATACTGTGCTGCACACATCTAGGTCAAAACTTGCCACTCTTAGCAAATTCAAGGGCATTATGAAGTTTGCATAGTTCTACAGTATAGACACTGATCCTACTGATGTAGATCTACTTGACGGACAGTGAAAGGGTTAATGCACAAATACTGTGACTCACTAACTTAATTTTTAATTTACAATAATGTATGAGCAGTTAGAGCGATGCAACTACTTCCTCAACAAGATGGTAGAGTGCACCAGACGAGGAGAAGACGTAGAGGGTCGTCTTGTATCATTCCTTCTCCATGACCCAGTTAATGATGGAGGTCAATGGGACATGATTGTCAACCTTATTACTAGGTGAGATACATATAAATCTTTCCCTACAAGGGAGATTCCTTGGTGCCAGTAAGCAGCTCTTGATCCAAGGAATTGTACCTGATCTCCCTTTCTTGAACCAAACCTGATTGCCTTCCATTACCCTAGGCTCTGCATGACCCCTCTTAGTTTAGGAGTGAATGGAGAAAAGTGGTTTTTCATGGGTATAATGTCTGATTATAAGCAAGGTAACTTTTGTGAAGACATTTGGCGAAACCGGTTAAGCAGACTTGTGTCATGAAGGTAGGAAGAGAAGTGGCTGCACTCTGAAGGAGGAGTGGGGATGTTGCAGTTGAAGGGTATTCTGATTATGTCAAGACTGATTGAGTGAATGATGGCAAATTTGTTTTATTTTTTTGGTGACCCTTCTTTCTGTGAGATGGTGATTAGGGAAAAAATCTATCTACCATATATAATTTCCCTGAAGTACTTTTAATTATCTCATCAGATAATGATGATAATAATTATAATGGTAATTCTTATTAGTATTATAATAATACAGGCAGGCCCCACTTTCCAGCACTTTGCTAATACAGATGTTTTCAATTATACCCATTCATAATTTATTCAGATTTCCTACAATAAATATAAGGGGATTACCAATAGACCCCTGGCTGTCTTCAAGAAGGTGCTGGACAGGCACCGAAAGTCAGTACCTGACCAGCTGGGCTTTGGTTCATACGCTAGTTTGTGTGTGGCCAGCAGTAACAGCCTGGTTGATCAGACCCTAATCCATCATGAGGCCTGGTCTCAGACCGGGCTGCGGGGACTTTGACCACTGAAAACCCTCCCCAGGTATACTCCAGGTAAGTAGGGCCCCACTTATATGGCAGGTTAGGTTCCAGGCTATTGCTGTAAAGCGGACATCACCACGAAGCACAATACTGTTTTTTCCACTTATAAATGCCAGATAACAAGTTTACACTAACATATATAAAGTTAACAATAGAAATAAGCATTAAAAAGCAATAAAAAGTAAAATGCACACACAGTACACTCATAACTTACCTTAAAATATTTGTGATCTTAATGTAGGGTGAGAGGTGAGTAATATTTATTGCAAGAAGTCAGGTGTGGTAGGTATGGTGGCCCACATGGCCACCCACCCACATGTAATATACAACATTTAAAACACCCTAGAGTGATAAAATGCATATTCAGTACACTCATTATTTTTTTTTTTTAACAGCCATTTCCCATCTATGCAGGGCGACCCAAAAAGAAAGAAAAAACTTTCATCATTCAACACTTTCACCATCACTCATACTTAATCACTGTCTTTGTAGAGATGCTCAGATACGACAGTTTAGATGTCCCCCCAAACTGCTAATATCCCAAATCCCTCCTTTAAAGTGCAAGTATTGTACTTCCCATTTGCAGGACTCAAGTCTGGCTAACCAGTTTTCCTGAATCCCTTCACAAAATATTACCCTGCTCACATTCCAACAGCTCATCAGGTCCAAAAACCATTGGTCTCCATTCACTTCTGTCTAACATGCTCATGCACACTTGCTGGAAGTCCAAGCCCCTCGCCAACAGAACCTCCTTTACCCCCTCCCCTGCCTCCAGCTGCCTCCTGGCTGCAGCATTTACAACCCAAGCTTCACACCCATAGAAGATTGTTGGTACCACTATACTTTCATACATTCCCTTCTTTGCCTCCATAGATAACATTTTTTGTCTCCACAGATACCTCAGCACACCACTCACCTTTTTTCCTTCATCAGTTCTGTGGTTAACATCATCCTTCATAAACTCATCTGTTGACAAGTAAACTCCCCAATATCTGAAAACATTCACTTCTTCTATACTCCCTCCCTCCAATGTGATATCCAATTTTTCTTTATCTAAATCATTTGATACCCTCATCACCTTACTCTTATCTATGTTCACTTTCAACTTTAATTACTTATCTTAAAATATTTGTAGTCTTAATGTAGGGTGAGAGGCGAGTAGTATTTATTTGTAGGATGTCAGGTATGGGAGGTATGGTAGCCCACTTGGCCATCAAACCAACATGTGATATATTACATTTAAAGTGCACCTAGAATGATATAATGCATGTACAGTACACTCATTACTTACCTTAAAAAATTTCTTTCTTTTCTTTCAATGCACCAGCCATATCCCACTGAGATGGGGTGGCCCATAAGGTGTTTATTATTTATTTTTTTTTATTTTATTAACACATCGGCTGATTCCCACCAAGGCAGGGTGGCCCGAAAAAGAAAAACTTTCATCATCATTCACACCATCACTGTCTTACCAGAGAGATGCTTTACACTACAGTTATAAAACTGCAACATTAACACCCCTCCTTCAGAGTGTAGACACTGTACTTCCCATCTGCAGGACTCAAGTCCGGCCTGCCGGTTTCCCTGAATCCCTTCACAAATGTTACTTTACTCACACTCCAAGAGTACGTCAAGTATTAAAAACCCATTTATCTCCATTCACTCCTATCAAATACGCTCATGCACGCTTACTGTAAGTCCAAGCCCCTTGCACACAAAACCTCCTTTACCCCCTCCCTCCATCCCTTCCTAGGCCGACCCCTACCCCGCCTTCCCTCCACTACAGGTTTATACACTCTCGAAGTCATTCTGTTTTGTTCCTTTCTCTCTACAGGTCCGAACCACTCTCAACAACCCCTCAGGCCTCTGGATAATAGTTTTGGTAATCCCACACCTCTTAATTTCCAATTCTCTGCATTATATTCACACCACACATGACATGACATCTCCACTGACTCCAGCCTTCTCCTCGTTGCAACATTCATCACCCATGCTTTACACCCATACAAGAGTGTTAGTACAACTATACTCTCATACATTCCCCTCTTTGCTTCCATGGACAAAGTTCTTTGTCTCCACAGACTCAAGTGTGCCACTTACCCTATTCCCCTCATGAATTCTGTGATTTGCCTCATCCTTCATAGACCCCATCTGTTGACACTTCCACTCCTAAATATCTGAATACATTCACCTCCTCCATACTCTCTCCCTCCAATCTGATATCCAATCTTTCATCACTAATTTTTTTGTTATCCTCATAACCTTACTCTTTCCTATATTCACTTTTAATTTTCTTCTTTTACATACCCTACCAAATTCATCCACCAACCTCTGCAACTTCTCTTCAGAATCTCCCAAAAGCACAGTGTCATCAGCAAAGAGCAACTGTGACAACTCTCACTTTGTGTTTGACTCCTTATCTTTTAACTCCACATCTCTTGCCAAGACCCTAGCATTCACTTCTCTTACAACCCCATCTCTAAATATATTGAAAAACCACGGTGACATCACACATCCTTGTCTAAGGCCTACTTTTACTGGGAAATAAATTCCCTCTCTCCTACATACTCTAACCTGAGCCTCACTATCCTCGTAAAAACTCTTCACTGCTTTCAGTAACGTACCTCCTATACCATACAGCTGCAACATTTGCCACATTGCCCCCTTATCCACCCTGTCATATGCCTTTTCCAAATCCATAAATGCCACAAAAACCTCTTTACCCTTATCTAAATACTGTTCACCTATATGTTTCACTGTAAACACTTGGTCCACACACCCTCTATCTTTCCTAAAGCCTCCTTGTTCATCTGCTATCCTACTCCGGCTTACTCTTAATTCCTTCAATATTAACTCTACCATACACTTTACCAGGTATACTCAACAGAGTTATTACCCTATAATTTTTGCGCTCTCTTTGATACAAAGGAACTATGCATGCTCTCTGCCAATCCCTAGGTATCTTACCCTCTTCCATACTATTTATTAAATAATAGCACCAACCACTCCAAAACTATATCCCCACCTGCTTTTAACATTTCTATCTTTATCCCATCAATCCCAGCTGCCTTACCCCCTTTCATTTTACCTACTGCCTCACGAACTTCCCCCACACTCACAACTGGCTCTTCCTCACTCCTACAAGATGTTATTCCTTCTTGCCCTATTCATGAAATCACAGCTTCCCTATCTTCATCAATATTTAACAATTCCTCAAAATATTCCCTCCATCTTCCTGTTACCTCTAACTCTCCATTTAATAACTCTCCTCTCCTATTTTTAACTATCAAATCCATTTGCTCCCTAGGCTTCCTCAACTTATTAATCTCGCTCCAAAACTTTTTCTTATTTTCAACAAAATTTGTTGATAACATCTCACCCACTCTCTCATTTGCTCTCTTTTTACATTGCTTCACCACTCTCTTAACCTCTTTTTCTCTCCATACACACTTCCCTCCTTGCATCACTTCTACTTTGTAAAAACCTCTCATATGCTATCTTTTTCTACCTTACTACTCTCTTTACATCATCATTCCACCAATCGCTCTTCTTCCCTCCCGCACCCACTTTCTTGTAACCAGAAACTTCTGCTGAACACTCTAACACTACATTCTTTAACCTACCCCATACATCTTCAACCCCATTGCCTATACTCTCACTAGCCCATCTATCCTCCAATAGTTGTTTATATCTTACCCTAACTGCCTCCTCTTTTAGTTTGTACACCTTCACCTCTCTCTTACTTGCTGCTTCTATTTTCCTTGTATTCCATCTACCTTTTACTCTTACTGTAGCTACAACTAGAAAGTGATCTGATATATCTGTGGCCCCTCTATGAATATGTACATCCTGAAGTCTACTTAACAGTATTTTATCTACCAATACATAGTCCAGCAAACTACTGTCATTACGCCCTACATCTTATCTTGTGTACTTATCCCTCTTTTCTTAAAATACGTATTACTTATAACTAAACCCCTTTCTATATAAAGTTCAATCAAAGGGCTCCCATTATCATTTACACCTGGTACCCTAAGCTTACCTACCACACCCTCTCTAAATGTTTCTCCTACTTTTGCATTTGGGTCCATTACCACAATTACTCCCTCACTTGGTTCAAAGGTTCCTATACATGTTTCTCCTACTTTGGCATTTAGGTCCCTTACCACAATTACTCTCTCACTTGGT